AATGCGCAGGTTGATGCCAAGTTCGAAACGTGGGATGCGACGCCTCCAACGGAAATCGAGATCACGATGTGGAAACCAAGCTGCGTTTCGTGGCCTGCTAAAGCTAAGAGTGGGTGTGTGTGTGTGTGTGTAGAGAGAGAGAGAGAAAGTGAGAGTGAGTGAGTGTGGGTTTTTTTTTTGTTGTTGCTTTTTTATTGCTATATGGCAGCATTTGGGAGAAGCTAAAATTAAACTCATATTTCATACAAATAAAATCATCATATCATTATAATAGAGCTAAACATACAAATCTCTATGAATTGTGTGCCACAATAAAATTGGAATATCTTTCAGGTTTCTGTACTCCGATGAGGTCCAGATTGGGCCTGAGACAGTGATGACCACGCTATATACAGCTAAGAAGTATGCAGTGCCGGCACTGGAGGCTCACTGTGTGGAATTCCTCAAGAAGAACCTGAGAGCAGATAACGCTTTCATGCTGCTCACACAGGTCTGTGTCCCCCAGCTATGAATGTGGACCACTTCCTGTATGATTTGATGTGTAGGACTGGTTGTACTGCCTTTGAATCAAAATGTGCATCTGAACATTTGGTGAAAAACTCAGTATGATATGCAACAGGGCTAACATTTTAAATCCACAGGTTGAGGGGAGTGTCATTCTATATTTCTTTGTGCTAGTGCTGATAAAATAGCAGAGTTTTAGTACCATTACCAAAACAATACTCCTTATTTTAAGAAGTATACACTTTACAACAAGACACTTTTTTTTTATTAAACAAAATAAGCCTAAATTATGTCTAAAGACAAGCAGTCGTACTAAAACTAAAATTATGATTTAAATCAGAAACACAACAACAATTTCTGTATTTGTCCGTTTTTGATACTTATTACTACTCATTATTTTTAAGTGCAGTTGTCAACCCTGAATTTTTAACGAGGCTGTGTAGTAAAAAATGTGTTTAAACTGTGGTGTGTTCTTCGTTTCAGGCCCGGTTGTTTGATGAACCTCAGCTTGCCAGCCTTTGTCTAGAAAACATTGATAAGAACACTGGAGATGCTCTTGCCGCTGAAGGCTTTACAGACATAGATTTGGGTAATGTCGCCATGTGAATGTTGTCACGATTGCCACATATTGTATTTGTAATGAATAACAGCTTAACCGAGCGTTGATTTTTCATCTCTCCGTTCCGTAGATACATTGGTGGCAGTGTTGGAGAGGGATACTCTCGGGGTGAGGGAGGTGCGTTTGTTTGGCGCCGCGGTGCGTTGGGCGGAGGCAGAGGCTCACAGGCAGCAGCTGCAGCCCACACCAGAGAACAAACGCAAAGTCCTCGGCAAAGCTCTCACACTCATCCGCTTTCCTCTGATGACAATTGAGGAGTTTGCTGCAGGTGAACAGACGCACAATAAACTCTTCTCACAACACAAACACACATCCTGCGCTTCAGATCCTGATCCTGTGTCCTCATCCCTTCAGGTCCAGCCCAGTCCAGTATTCTGACTGACAGAGAGGTGGTGAGTCTCTTCCTCCACTTCACAGTGAACCCAAAGCCTCGTGTAGACTTCATTGACCGGCCTCGCTGTTGCCTCCGTGGGAAGGAGTGCAGCATCACACGTTTCGGACAGGTGGAGAGCCGCTGGGGTTACAGCGGGACGAGTGACCGCATACGGTGAGTTTATTTTAAAAAAAAAAAATTAAAAAAAATTTACAAATCTTTTTACAAAAATACTTAAGGCTTATTAAAATTACAGTATCGACAATGACAACATTTAACCTTAGAATAAGAAAATACACCTGTGCGTATGCTTGATAACACCTACAGCTCCACACAGTTAATTCTCACACCCTCTCCCTTCTTGATATATCCCCGTTTTGTTTTTCTTCTCAGGTTCTCAGTAAACAGGAGGATATTTGTGGTTGGGTTCGGTCTCTATGGCTCTATACACGGACCCACAGACTACCAAGTTAACATACAGGTGTGGACCCGAACCCTTAGAGAACCGTATGTTGTATGCAGGCTGTATAACATGTTTGTAATGTTTGCGTCTGATCTCTCTCTCTCTCTAAATGCAGATCATTCACACAGACAGTAACACGGTGCTGGGCCAGAATGATACAGGCTTCAGCTGTGATGGGTCAGCTAACACCTTCAGAGTCATGTTCAAAGAACCAGTGGAGATATTACCCAACGTCAACTACACTGCCTGCGCTACACTGAAGGTCTGTGACGTGTTGGTAATAACACCACATACACATGCAAAAGTTTGTTTTTTTTCTAGGGCTGCAACTAATGATTATTTTTATTTTTGATGAATTGTTTTTTTTCTATAATCTATCCAGCTGTGTATTCAACCTCTCTGTCCGTCTTGCAGGGTCCAGACTCTCATTATGGGACTAAGGGAATGCGAAAGGTAACACACGAGTCATCATCCACTGGCACAAAGACGTGTTTCACATTCTGCTACGCAGCGGGCAACAACAACGGCACTTCTGTAGAGGACGGACAGATTCCTGAGGTCATCTTCTACACATAGTCACCTCCGACATAGCAACGATCTTCCATCAAATGTGACATCCTGACACCAGCGCGGGGCCACACCTCAGCAGCCGTACTGGGGACTAATTGCTCAGACATCATACTGTTCCCTCCATATAGTGCACTACTGTTGACCACATGGGAGGTCAAATAGCCGAAAAGCAATGTAGGTCACTACATGGGGCGTAGCTTGTCATTTGAGATGCTGTCTCTCTCTTTTTCAGTGGCTTCCTTTTATCCCCTTGTGTTGTAGTGATGCCAGCCTCTGAAACAGACATGACTGTAACCGACTCCACAAGGGAAGGAGAGAGGGAGGGAGGAGCCTCTCAGATAATTCACAGTATTGATGTCACTGCTGTGGATTGACGGCATAAAGCTTGACACTGAATTCTCCTTAAGCTGTACAATTCCCCTTCCTGTACTCCACAGCGTTAGCGCCAAGGAGAGTTGCAACTGTATGAATGTACAGTTTCAGATTTGCCAAGACAAGTTCCTTATCACCTTTAAGTACAGACCAGCGTTGAAATAAATTCCACATCAGCTGTAACTTCCATAGACTCCTAGATTTCATAGGCTTTATGAGCTCTTGGCGAATTTGAACCAAATGTCATATTAATCTTAACATGATTATGGTAAGCAATTTTTGGGTTTCTACATAAAGTACAATCTGTGATATCTCGTGTCCTTGCTTGGTAGTTGCCTATACCCAAGATACCTTGCACTTCTCGGCCTTGCATATGTTCATTTGGTTGTTCTATGGATGCACACTAACTCTTCAGATATGTTTCTTTTTAGCTTTGTTTTAAAAAGTGTGGGTGGAAGAGCTTTCCCTCTTGGTGCAGAAGTTAAAGGGTTGTATATTAAAGTGGCATTTATTAACATTATATATGTAACTTGAAATAACTATTAATTAAAGAGTGAAGAAAATGGATTGAGCTTCTTGTTTCTGTGAGTGACACTGCGCTTACTTGCCGAGAGTTGGTGTGAGATGAGAAGATCAATATACCCCTATGTCTGTCTGTTAAATATAAGGCTAGGCTGAACCCAGCATCTGCTTAGCTTAGTTTAGCTTAGCTTTGTCCAATAGTAACAAAATCCACCTGGCAGCCCCTCTGGAGCTCACTAATTAACACGTTATGTTATAGACTATTTATTTTCCATTCTTTGTTAAATTACATTAAGTTCAATCCTGAGAACAAAATGCCATGGTTCACAATACAATTAGCAAGATTCTTTAATAATTAAATAATTATACAACTTGAAATAACAAGAGAATTAAATAAAGACATTAAAAGTAAAACTCATTTGTCTTTATAGCTTTCTAATTAGAGTTTATGATCTCGAGGTAATGTTTATCTTTTATGGGAAAAAAGAGGCAAATGTGCATGTATGTATTTAGGTAAGATAAGAGTGATGATGTATGCTTGTTTTTAATTGTTTGTGTTTCTGTTATCACTCAACCCAAACAGTACATATTGTTCGAGACTAAAGTAACTTCCTGGGAATATCTGCTGGTTGTATCAATCTTCTAACTCACTGACACAAAGTGAATAGGCGTATTTCAATAAGCCCACTTGTGAAAGAACAGAATTTCAGGAGTCATCATGAGTTGAATGTTTTTATTCAATGACTTATGTAGCACTTTATTGTGGTTTCCATGGTTTTATCTGGCCATGATCCATTTAAATACCCATTATTGCAGCAGTATCACAGTGCACTGTACAGGCCCATCCTGGCAGATGAGAGGGAGGTGGTGATGTGGAGGAATAGAAGAAACAAGAAATACAACTGCTTTGATCTAATTGTTCCCCAAAACCCTCGCCCTAGGCACTTGGTGTACTGTAGCTGTGAAATGAAAAAGCATTGTTGCTTCCACTAGCCTATAACAAAAGCTTAAGCTTTGTTTCTGCTCCGGACTCAAAGTCAAAACAATTTGTGCGATGTATCTTTAAGCCTGTGCAAAGATTTTAAAGTGCCCACGGGGTAGGGTTTAGAGATTGATTTGGTATTTTATAATCCAGGGTCACTGTTTACAGTTTGTCCAAGTAGTTGTCGAGGGCAGGAATGCCCTCTTTTAGACCTTTGCGTTTCCTAATTTCAGCAACAACCTGGAAGGGTCTGGAGGTGGGGTCGCTCGGGTCTCCCGGGAGAATCTGCCAGTGATTAAACACACACTGAGGAAAGGCCTGGCCTCCAGTGTTACTGCGCAGGTCAGCTGTGAACCCTGAAGGGAATAAAGAATAGGGAAATTAATGTCTAACCCCCTGTGGTCCTGATCCTAATGCTTATCTATGAAAATGTATATTGGAATTAGTACACATATTTTTAACTTTTCAGCATGAAGTAGTTTAGTGCCCTCTGTAAAAGTCCCTATAGACATCCTCTTATTTTCAGGCACACCTTTAAAAAAAACGTATAGCTGAGTTGTAGAAGAGCTTCACGTCATTTTCAACATTTAGTAATTAAAAACATAATCAGGGAATCTCCATGTACAGATGCTCCAAAGATCCAATTTAATCTTTAGACCCTTTTAGTTATCTCTCCTTTATTTTAAGCTTTCAAATCAGGAAGCCTTCCTGTTACGAGTGCCCTTCTAAAAATATTAACCAAGAACAAATTAATAAATTAGGTGAATTATTCTGAAACTAAACACACTAAAAAGCATTACATTTTGGTCACACAAACCCACCAAAGGACTCGTTGACAGGGAGGTAGGCTTTCACCACAAAAATGGGAGTGCCCATCACTTGGGATTCCTCAAACACGTGACCTCGTTTCCTGTTCAACACACCATAGATCCCACCGACCACCTGCTCCGGGCACTGCATAGACATGAGGCACGGCAGTCAGACATGTAGTGTGAACTGGAGTTGTCTAGCATAATACTAATTGATAATTAACACATTGTACATAATCCTGAGACTGTACAGTAATAAAAAAAACTTGACATAATTCCTGTAAATTCACAAAAGTTTTGTAGATCTATAATAGTTTTCAATCAAGTTTAGTCTAGATATCAATTGTGATTTATAACAGAAACTAACTAAACTAGATTAACAGAACAGATTTCCTGTCAATTGCACCATTTCATTCTTATTTCAAGAGTTTATTTTGGAGGTAATATTCCCCTTCACACACACCTGTATCTCCACCAAGTATACAGGCTCCATGAGTCGTGGCTGAGCAGTGAGCTGAGAGGCATACAGGACCCTACGGGCTGTGGGAATAATCTGTCCTCCACCACGGTGGATGGCATCTGCGTGCAGTGTCACGTCATGAATGTCAAAGCGAACTGCGCGCATATTCTCCTCACATAGCGCACCCTGCAGGATGATGACAGAGATCGGAGGCTTATTCTCAGTAGTACACGCTTTTAAAAGATGGTATCACAAATGCATATCAAAAAATAATAACACAGAGCTACTCATTTAAAATATACTTGTAATCAAAGTTAACTGCTACCCACCTCTTTAGTCGCCCACTGGAAACCGGCCACAACGCTGTCCTTGATCTCGTTGAGGTACTGAACCCCCTTAGTCATGTCAATCAGCAGGTTGGCCCCACTTCCGTCTGGGCCAAAGCACCAGATCTTCCTGGCTTCTGTCACCTCCCACTCATACTTGTCGGCAAGGTAACGTGCACGAGCCTTGAGCTCCTGCCGAGCAGTGACTTCCCCCTTCTCGATGTCTTCAGCCAGGCCGTCGGGGAAGGGACGGGACTTCATGAAGAGACGATTGTGTTTGTTGGGGGACTTTGACAGACACATCTGTTCTGATTCTTCCATCACTGTCTCTCTGTAAGACACGACTGGGTCTGATACCTGGTAAGAGATGACAGAAAAGGAAGGATAATAAAGGAAAAGGATGAAAGCTTTTCCCCAATTCCCTCCCTTTAGAAGAGTTTTTTGCAACAAACACAACAAACTCTTTTGTATCATGTAAAAAAATTAAATAAATTTAATTAAGCTTCTCAACAGAGACCTGTCCGGCACTTAACCAGCATCTTATGGAAAACCTATCATCTTCTGTTCTCCTTGTCTCACCTTCAGTGGAATGCAGGCATGGTCCTCTTCCAGGTCCTTCAGGCAGATCTCCAGGTGCAGCTCTCCCGCTCCAGCGATGATGTGCTCCCCAGACTCCTCGATGATGCACTGCACCATGGGGTCAGACTTGGCCAGACGCTTCAGCCCCTCCACCAGCTTGGGCAGGTCAGCGGGGTTCTTTGCCTCCACAGCAACTCTGACTACGGGGCTCACACTGAACTTCATCACCCTCATGTTGTGGGCCTGCGGACAGAGCCAGAGTCACCAAGCTAAAAGACTTGTTCTTTTTGTTTTGTTATTTTGTTAGGAATAATTATGCCAACAACAAGCAAAAACTCTGTATAAATAACTGTGTGATGCACCAGTATTTGAACTATAGAAAAAAGTAATACGCTACTTGTTCATAGGTGGTAATGGTCCCTGTCTTAACCAGGAACTGGTCTACTCCAACAAGACCAACGATGTTGCCACATGGGACATCTTCAATAGGCTCCACATACCGGCCCATCATCAGGATGGTCCTGGAGGGAGAGAAAGGAGGACATGGTTATAAATAGTTGCCAACACGTACATGAAAACAAAAGGGTGAGAAGAGAAGCGTGAAGTTAGGGCTCATGTTCTTCTTCTTCTTCTTCTTTAGGCCTCTGCACAGTGGTTTGTATGTAAACATGCTCACCTCTGGATGGGTTTGATGTAAAGGTCCTCCTTCTTGCCAGGGGTGAAGTTTGGCCCCATGATGCGCACCTTCAGGCCAGTGGACACACAGCCAGAGAACACACGACCAAAGGCGTAGAAACGACCCTTATCGGTGGTTGGGACCATCTTGGAAATGTACATCATCAGAGGAGCCTTAGGGTCGCAGTTCTTAATGCCTGAGGAGACAGCACAGCCTTGAATATAGTATAGCTAAAATAAAGCTTATAAATGAGGTAAATATTTTATGGAACCATAACATATATATAACCATATCATCATAATGCTCCATATCAAATAAAATCTTCTCCTGAGAGGTGAAGGTGTGTGGTGCTGTGAAAATGTTCCACTGACCCATGGCAGCCTCGTCGTCTCCCGGCCCTTCATAAAGCAGCTCACAGCGGTATCTCTGTGCAGTGACAGGGGAGGGCAGGTGGATGGTGATCATCTGGAGCAGGGCCTCTCCGGCAGGCAGCCAGCGACGCATCACAGCCTTCAGCAGGGGCTTCCCCTCTTTCTCCTTGTCATCTGTGTCTAGTTTGACGTCCAGCTTCTCAATTAGTTTGGCCGTCTCCTCCTTCTTGAAATTCATGATGGCATCAAACACCTTGGAGGACAGAGGCCAAAAAGAAGACATCAAACTCGAGTTCAAAGGCATCCTTAACTTTTTTATGTATAGAATTTTATGTGATGTTTCAAATTTTTCTGATGGCATAAGTAATTTTGTTTGCAGCGAATTTAGACAATACTGGCAACAATGGGCAAAGTCTGTGTGTGTTGCTTTGAGCCCATTCATTGTAGTGTCCTCCAGCTCGTATACAATGACTGGCTAACACAACATGTTTTTTTGTGCTACTACTAGGAGCTCAAAAAAGTTAAAATCTTACATATAGGTGCTTTAAATACATTTTTAACAATACAGAAACATATAATGTCGATTAGTCCTGAACAAGTTAACACATGAATTGTCACTTTTTTTCTCCATTCACCTTAAAGATGGGGTCCAGAACGAGCTGGCAGAAGGTGCGGGGAAGTTTCTGGCCATCAGGACCGACAGCAGTCTTACTGAACTTGCCGGCAACGGGGTCAAAATATCTGTGCATACAAATATGACACGCAGATGATTGACATCTATCTTATAATCCTGTTTTAATAATGCAATATATGCCAGTTAAAAATGATGAATTACAACATTTTTAAAAGCAATTTAGCACCAGCTGAACATTTTTTGTGGTGGTTTAGCTGCAGTGCACTCCGGGGTGAGGTCTGTACACAGTGTAATCACTGTTGGGTGTGATTACACACTTCTAGCCACACCTATCAGTGATGCTGTGTTAAGTTACTCTTTTACATTAAAACATATCTCTTGACTCGGCTAGTGATGAGGGGCCAGTTTTCCCTAAAATGACCACGCCCACCTAGGATAAATCCATAAGTGTCTTCTTGTACTGTGGTTCTTAAATACTGTCATTTTTTTAATGTTTCAACTCCATTTGATGTATCACTGCTAACTTTTGTAGAATATAAGCGCTGTTGTGACTATGGCTACACTAATGGACAATATGTGTGTATGCAAAGCAATATGGAGAGAGGCTCCTGTATTTACTGTGAAGGTGAAGGGCGGGCAGTAGACTGGGACATTTTCCTGCTAAGAGTAGATGGACGGCAATATATATATATATTCTTTCTTTTGTTTTTTTTTTCTTTTCTTTTCTTTTATCTATCTCTGTTACTGACATGATGGCAAAATGTATAACTTGTGTTTCTGTCTGTCTGTTGAAAACCAATAAAAATTTGTTACAAAAAATAAATAAAACATGTCTCTGTCTGGACATAGCATCATGTTTACCTGTCTCCCCACAGTTTCTTCATCATGTCCTCCACTTTCTTACACCTCTCTGCTGCTCCCAGTTTAGTATCTCCTTTCGTGAACTTAGCCACATACATCTCAGCGAACTGCTTCAAGGTGAAAGCCCAGCCATGGAGGCCAGAGCCAAACCCGACTGTACCAATGACAGGGTCAATCTGAGGGGGAAAAAGGTCCAGTATTCTTTGAAATCGTAGCTAAAATAAAT